TATATATATATATATATATATATATATATATATATATATATACAAATATATATATATATATATATATATATATATATATATATATATATATATATATATATATATATATATATATATATATACATATGTGTTTATAAATATAGGACTATATATACATATATATATATATATATATATATATATATATATATATATATATATATATATATATATATATATATATATATATATATATATATATATATATATATATATATATATGTATTTATTTTGTTCTTTTGCAGTTGTAGTTGGATTAATCGGTATCGGGGTGGCTGCGGGAGAAATTAACAGACTTTTCAAACCGCGGTACCATTATGACTACACATTAGGTTGGTCATTTGATCTGGTCATCTTCAGCCTTGTTATGTTTGTTGTGGCTCTGATTCTTTGTGTTATTGAGACTGTGAGGAAAGAAAGATAACTTCACGTAGTTATTCCAAGATTTTAATGTTAATTAAACCCACGCAGTTTATTTTTTTTTTGTTGGAATTTTTAGTTTTTTAAATTCTTATTTTGTATTCTTGTATGTTTGAATTTTCCTTTCATAACGATCTAATAAACATTTGTATTGTATTTGTAAAAATAGTTAAATTTTCATTCGATTTTAATCCGATCTAGTTCAGTATTAGAATATCTTTTGAGCTATTTCTTTTGATCTATACTGAGAAATTTGTATGATATTTTTATACTAAGATATTTTGCTATGGCATAGATATTTAATTTAAGATGTTTAAGTATTTTGATTGTGACAATTCGACCTCAAACTTACGTAGCAAACACGTTTAATTAAACAAGTTATCGTTTTGAAGCTGTAAAGTTCACCTGTTTGCTGTGAACTCGGCTTTTGAAGAAATAGTGTGGTCAACTTTATGTCTAGCCGCCTCTACCTTCCTAGACAAGAGTCATAAATGAGTGTCATCAGGGACATCATTGGAGCCTTTGATCCGAACTTAAGGCTTTCGGGTTATCAGTCGTATGTGCTACCCCTCGACCATGCCGTCACACGAGACAACAAAAATTCGTTCATTTAATTTTGGTTGACGCTTAACCCGGTCAACGCCCAACGTGTGAACCCAAACCATTTAAACTTCCTTTTTCCGTATCACATGCCAATCTTTGCTCTACTGAAAAACTCTAAAGCTGTGTTCAAGTGAGGAAGTGTATTACGTGAGATACCATCAGGTTTTTAAAGCAGTAAAAAAGTAAAATAAAGGGAATATTAAAAAAAAACTACTTTGGAATTTTGAATATGTTTTGTACGTTTCCGAAGAGTTTAAAGTACAAGTATTAGTTTGGCTTTGCATTATTAAATACAACAAAATTAAAAGACTTAAAAAATGCCAAAACTTTATGCGAAAACCATTAACATAAGGGATTAAGGGGCGATTGATTGATAGATAGTACATACTAAGAGGAGGCTAATTTCACGGGGGGGGGGGGGGGGGGTAGGGGTTGGAGGAAATGAGGGTGGGGGGAGGTGGGGTTTATCGTCCTTAATGACCTACTGATAGTGTTTTAAAGCAAATATTTTCAGTGGCAGCATTGGTACTGTCGAATTCACAAATTATTATTTACTAAAAAGTAGAAAATAAAACAACTAAATAGAGGTATGATACGTTGCGGGTTGGATCGTATGGTATATTGTGGTTAATGCCTCACCAAGTAGACTACTTTATTTTCCCTAATGTAAGTTGGGTACTCATTGGAGATGGGATTCGAACTTGGGACTTTCAGGAAATAAGTCCTGCTCTCTGTGCCCGCACCACCACCCTCCGACAATAAATACACAATTTAAAACAAAAGTCGTTTGGATAAACAATGCATATGGAAAAAAAAGCTCCCATGTGTTTGTTTGATTAAAATTTTAATTATAAAGTTAAATGTTTGGTTGTAAACAATCAATAGATTTAATTTTAATATTATAGTCATATATAGAGACATGTAGGTTTTGGGGATGTTTTTTGAAAGCTTATGCGAATCAAGGCAGTTTGTTCTTGCTTACGAAGTTTCAAAATTAATAAGAATTTTAAATTATTTTGAAAGTAATATTAATATTGCTTCCGCTTTCCATTTATAGATCAAAAACAATAACACTAATAAAGGGTAGCAAGCTATAACAGTAATCTGAAAATACAAGAAAATATAAAGTAGTATATTGGAAATAAAGATCTTTATTTAAAAAAATATTTAACATGTGTATAGAAATATATGTATGCACGTATATCAATTCAATACACTTCTGAGATGTTTGAATTATAATTTGACTTTAATTTTTACTGAAAACCACTGGCCTCATTAAAATATAATTTGTAGAAACATAATTCTTTCCGATGATTTTATTATTATGGTGATTATGATGATTGATTTAATAATTTTCGATGAAGATCAACCAAGAAGCTGGTTAATAACTAGAGAAAAAAAGCAACAAAGGGAAGTAGCCCAAAGTTTATTAGAAATAATTAAAGAGTTGTCGTTGGTGAAGAGTCAAGTGATATATTCATCTACTTCATAGACCTTGACAGCAGTTGCAATAGGCGAAAGCAGGAGATGGTGCACAATATTTTATTTAGTTTTTATAATATCCGATTGTTTGCTCATACGTGTGTTTGTGGCTGATTGATTATTATATCTCAACTTAATTTATCCAGTGATTTCGTTCTAACATTTCAGACACATTTGTCTCCGAAAACAACACAAAGAGTTCTAATTTGATTGTAATTAGTAACGAATAAATAATTAAAAATTAACAAAAAATCTAGCAAAGTTCAATTAAAATGGGGATGTATGAAGATGAAGAAGATATAGACGGGGTTGAACTTTTGTTTAAGGCTGGGTGCTTATTTGTTTGACAGTCAAACACGGAATAAGAAAGGGACAATAATTGCCTTTAGAGATCTCAAACTACTGAGTGTGTTTTAAAGCAAATTATTTTAGTCGTATGTGTCATGGACTTCCTTAAGAAAAAAATGATTACAACTTTATGAAAATAGGCTACTAATTGTTTTTTTAAAAAAAATAATACATCAACTTATTATTTTAATTTTTTAAAAAGCATAATGGAGGCGAGCGAGTTGACGAGATTCCTTCCATAATGTTGTTGACATGGAATAAAAACGTGCTTTTTAGATTTAGACCGTAAAAAAAAAATAAATAAAAACTTAAGCCTAAAATTAATTTAGAAATTTTATATTTTTTAGAATAAATGCTATAAAAGTTGCAAATCCAGAGAACTTGAAAATAATTTGCTGAGTTTAAGGCTACATTGCTATTTATTTTCATCAAGCCTAAGTTATAACCGGATGTTTCACTTTCGTAAGACAAATATTGATTGGCTGTACAGTAACTTAGTGATCGATAACTATTTGTTTACAAAACTTTGCAGATCAAGTTTTTAAATAACAATGCAAATTAAAAACCCCATAACCTAGTTTTCTATTTTTAGCTTACAATGTGTACAATAAAATCAATGGCGGCCTATCCAATAGCAGGATGCCATTGTTTATGTCGCCATTACACGTGAAAACCAAATTGTTTTTGCTTTTTTTAAAATTTTTATTTAGTTACCGAAAATATTATAAACATCAAATACATCCAATCTTTAGTAAAGTCCGAAAAAAACCAGACAGGCAGGATTTTATAACCATATTAATTGTAACTACGCTGTGCATGATTTTTAAATTAATTTATACACCTCTCAAATACCTTTGAGACTTTTCTCGCTGGTGTCCATTAGTAAAAAGTTATAAAAAATACACATAAAAACAATAAATAATCTTTCAAGTGCACTGATAATATGAATATTATAACAAAATTTCTGTCTTAAATAAAAGCATTGGTCTCTAAAAAATGTAACAGAAGTCCATTCTTTTCTTTAAGAAAGCAATGTCAGTGCATATTAACAGCTCAATACGTGTTGTGAACAGGTCGGTAAGGCTCATGGTTGCTAAACCTAGTAGTCCCGAGTTCAAATCCTCGGGCAGACAAGCCTCGATTTCTGCGGAAAATCAACTACGAAATCAAACAACTATTGCCTTGTATGTTGTAATATTTAGATTGAGAAACAATTCGGTTGTAAAACAAAAAAAAAAACGAGTCAACTGGCCATATAGAGCATAAGATGTTAACACGTATACTTGATTCTGTTTAATAGAAATGTGTCCACCATTAAAATTAAGAACAAAGAAGAAACAGAGGGCGATCTTTTACGTATTTTAAAGGTCAAATCTTTTAATTTTTAGTGTTAGAGGGGATCAAGCTTTATCTGACAGAGGATTTGAACACGAGACTTTTACTAATTTATCAACCATGAGTATACGTGTCAATTGGTTATGCGCCATTGAGGCCATTGACTCCGATTTCAGCCTGCTTTTCATTATGGATTTGCTTCCATAGCCTTTGTCCAACCAAGAACAAACTACAAGACGTAGCAGTTGTTTGATTATAAAGTTATCTCTCCTAGAAGAGTGGCTGTCCCCAGCTGAGGGTTCGAACTCGTATCATTTCGGTTTAGCAACCATGAGCTTTACCGACTCGACCACGCCGTCCCCTGTGATTAATTTAAATCTTTGCTCTGACCCCATGAACGCCACTACTCTACCGCTTTAACTATTTCCTACAGGTGATACTACATTATCATTACATTAACCGTAGTGTGTCAACGACCCTATATATATATATATATATATATATATATATATATATATATATATATATATATATATATATATATATATATATATATATATATATGTATGTATATGTATATAACTCCCCCACCGGTCACAACAAAGGAAGGCCAAAGCCTAAATTGAAAAAAATATATATTTAATCAAACGCAGTGTTGATAATCCCAAAGTTCGCAATTATATCAATAACTGTGTTGGTTATTAATGCAAAACACGACAGGTGTGCGGGATAGTGAACAGCACACTACTTTGTTACAATAGTATGACATATTTACAACACTAATTGAGATTTTAGGGGCAACTTGCGTTATTGTGTTTGAGTAAGATTATTTATCTCTTTGATACCGTGTTGTGTTGTGATGGCATCTAAACACCAGAACAACATGTCTTCTTGGGAAGTTCTGCTTATGATCCTGCTTGTAGCTGTTGGGGAATGCAAAGGTGATGGGGAAGGGGAATCAACAGAACAGGCAGATGGCACGTCGCATGTACAAACTGAAAATTTGGAGCGCAGACTTAATAGTAAGTAAGACAATTGAGCAGGTAATTATTCTGTATACATGATAGTCAGAGAAATGAAAATATACATGGGACAAATATATATATATATATATATATATATATATATATATATATATATATATATATATATATAAATTTAAAGTGCACGTTTAAAATGTATACCTGTATTGGTTTTTAATATAAAATAATTTTGAAATATTTTTATTGCATGCATTTTGTTATATTAATTGTGAAATGAAATTAGAATATCGCATTTTAAGATTACCGGAAATTGATGAAAAAATTAATAGAAACTACTAATTTGAAATAATAACAATAAAATATATAAAATTTCGTAAACATAACATAACTGTTATCAAGTTATCTTGTACAACGACAGACACACTCACACATGCACATACGTATAGACCATAATGCAATTAACGTTTTTTACTTTCACGTATATATATACGAAGTATAGAGAAAGTCTTGTAATCGTGCAAAAAAAGAAATCGAGATTTTTGCAAATCTCGACGTTTTATAGCTCCCTGAGTCGGAAAACATAGTTTTGCAATCTTGTCTGTATGTCTGTGTGTGTGTATGTGTGTGTGTGTGTATGTGTAAACACCATAAATTCAGTACCATTACAGCTAGGTTGATGGAATTTCATTTAAGTATTATATCAAAGTGTAGATACGTATCAACTTTTGAGCGATTTCCGATAACCGGAAGTGGTACTTTTTCTACTTTCAATTTTTCAAAAGCCTATAACTTGAGTACTATTTCAGAATAATAAATAAAAATTTCACACGTAAGTGAAACATCTAATTCTCTGCCTTCTGGCAAATTTTGAGTAATTTTCGTTGACCGGAAATAGTAATTTTTGCTATTTCCGATTTCTCAAAACAACGCATGTGAATTTATAAAGTACTAATAATATTCCGCACTATTTTGCACATTTTATTTGGCGTTCACTTGGTGTGCAACTCGTTTTCTACGAGATTTTATTCTATTTTAAAAAGTTTAAGTAGGCCTATTTAAAATGGATTAAAAATCATGTCTATATCCCGAGTTGCTATCCCCTGTTTTTTCATATAAAAATATTCGAGAAAATTTAGGGGAGATCACTCCGGAGTTATTTCACATAGGGAGCTGTATAGCTTCCACATAAGACACGATCAGGATTTCTATTTTAGTACGATAAAATACTAATTTTTTCCCCGGAATATGTTTTAAATTACTTTTTATACACAGGTCGCCATGTGTTGCTATTGTTAAGATTCATTTAAACAAAGCTTGACTCTGTTTAATTTTCGTTTACAGTCTTTCACTGTAAGATGCCACCCTTCTATTGTGATGATGGTTCATGTATCTCAAAGGATTATATGTGCAATGGCCATAATGATTGCGCAGAGGGATCGGATGAAAGTGAGGATTTCTGTAGTAAGTAAAGACGTGTTGGTATAGTCTTAACACAATCACTTGGTGAATGTACTTAGTACTTTATTCATGTTTTTTTGTAATCACAACAGCGTTCATGTGTTTATCTAAACACAATCACTTGGTGTCTGTAATCACAACATCATTCATTTTTTTATCTAAATACAATCAGATTGAGTCTGTAATCACACCATTCATGTTTTTATCAAAAAACAACCACTTAATGTGTGTAATCACAACACCATTCATTTTTTATCTAAACACAAACAAATGGTGTCTGTAATCAAAATATCAGGGGACGGAGTGGTCTAGCGGTAGAGAGCTGGACTGCTAACCCGTAAGTCCAGAGTTCGAATTTGGGTTCAAGTCATTAGAACGTCCCTGAGTCCACCCAACCCCAATGGGTACCTAACTCACGTTAATGAAAGTAAAGGTGGCTGGGCATAGTGCTGACCACACTATCTCTTCATATGCCGAGGTCACAGAAACAAGTGAACTCTACTTCACTTGCTCCATAAACCGTCAGGTTTGAAAAGGGAACTTTACTAATCAAAATATCATACCATCGATACCCTACGACTTACTATCTATTCCTTCATCACCATCCATCTCTCCTGTTTTTTCTAAAACCATCACCCATCTCCATTTACACCCTCCCTAATCCTGCCCTTAATTTTCCCAATCAACAACCATCTCTCACCTTATCCACATTCTACCCCCACTTTCCACTCTACCACTACCTCTTACTCCTCCTCCCATTTTTTTTTTTTTAAATTCCTCCCACATTCTCCCACTCTCACCTACCTTATCAACAACTATTTCAACCTTTAACCTCAAGCCCCACTGTATCAGCTGACACAGTTACTGCCGGCCAGCTGTTACACGATTATATCCTTAACAATCCAATTACATTTTACACACCATCCTATTGCTATTGAATATATGTTTAAAAATGTCAACATTGCACGGCTTTTAAAATAAAGTTTAAATATGATAAAACATGGATTTATAATTAATTTTCTAGACGAATTAATACATACATTTGAAAAATGGTGCAATTTGTCAAAGTACGGTTGTAAATACAAAATAAAAAACTACATTAACACATACATATGAAATGTATTGTTGAATCTCGATTGCTAGCTTATTTAAAAAGACGAAATTCTTGTTTCATTTATCATTTCACTTTAGAAAGACTGTCTTAAATCTATAAAATGTTTGTATAAATGAAGCTGAGTACTTATTTACTTATGTTCTTGTAAAAAGTTAGATTGTACCCTCTAATATATTTTATTACAAGTAATTGAAATAACGAAAATACATGAAAAGTAAATTGACTGAATGTATCTGTATAATTAGGCTCGTGTCAGTACAACGTATTTAAATGCAAAACCAAAAACAAATGTGTCAAATACTGGCTGACATGTGATGGTGATGACCACTGTGGGGACAGTTCAGATGAAGCCAATTGTGGTGAGATGACCAAGCGATATTATATATATATATATATATATATATATATATATATATATATATATATATATATATATATATATATATATATACATACATATATATATATATATATATATATATATATATATATATATATATATATATATATACATATATATATATATATATATATATATATATATATATATATATATATATATATATATATATATATATATATATATATATGATACATTCATTTCAAAACAATAACTGCATGAAATTGAAATCTTCACAAAATATATTTAGAACTTGCAATATTATGAATCTTCCAAACATTCAATTTATTTTTAATTTTTTTTTTTAGGAAATAGGCATGTTTTAATTATAAACGAATATTCTTATAAAAGTGTTAAAGTGCTTTTTTCCTGCTTGCTCACACCATTTCCAATTCTCCTGTTTTTAAAATATAATATTTTCGTGCAATCAGAGTTTTAGTATTCTAAACGTTTCAAACGTACCGTAAACATTTATATCACGCACACTGGACTATAAATTGGACTATTTATCTCTCCTGGGTCGAGTAAAGCTCATGGTTGCTAAACCGAGAAATCTCGAGTTCGAACCCTCGGGCAGATGAGGCTCGTTAGCTGGGGACAGCCACTCTTCTAGGAGAGACAACTCCAAAATTAAACAACTGCTGCCTTGTAGTTTGTTCTTGGTTGGACAAAAGGCTATGGAAGCAAAATCCAAAAAGAAAAGCAGGCTGAAATCGGAGTCAATGGCCTCAATGGCGCATAACCAGTTGACGCGTAATCCTTAATTGTGTTGGATGCGTGGTCGAGTCGGCAAAAAGCTCATGGTTGATAAATTCGAACAAAGTCTCGAGTTCAAAACGCACTGGCAGATAAATCTCGATCCCCTTCAACACTAATAATTAAAAACGAAGAAGAAGAAGAAAGATCTCTCCTGTTAATATTTTAATCAAATCTAAAAAAATATTGACAACATGTATTGTATGATTAGATTCATGTAGCGGACCCAGTTTCCATTGTGCAAACCGAGCCTGTGTTAACAGTAATAAAAAATGTGATGGTAATGATGATTGTGGCGACAGATCTGATGAAAGTAATTGTGGTAAGAAAATTAAGCAAATATTTCATGTTGTTTTTAATGTAGAGTGGTTGTCATGGTTCATGGTTGCTAGATGTATAGTGGGTATCTTGGTTGTTAGATGTAGAGTGGGTCAGTGGGGTAGCGAGGTCGGGTGATACCCGGTGCGGCACTTAATGGTGTCACCCCCCCCCCCAGAGGCGTAGCGACCTTTCCCGGGGACAAACTTTCAATTTTCGTTTCGATTTGCACCCCCCCCCCCCCTCCTCAAACTTTCGATTTGCACCCCCCTTCAAACTTCCGATTTGCACCCCCTCAAATTTTTCTCTATATATTTTGCTATATTTTTTGCCTTGGTGTCACCCGGTGCGGTCCGCACCCACGTGGGTATCGTGGTTATTAGATGTAGAGTGGGTATCGTGGTTGTTAGATGTAGAGTGGGTATCACGGTTGTTAGATGTAGAGTGGGTATCGTGGTTGTTAGATGTAGAGTGGGTATCGTGGTTGTTAGATGTAGAGTGGGTATCACGGTTGTTAGATGTAGAGTGGGTATCGTGGTTGTTAGATGTAGAGTGGGTATCGTGGTTGTTAGATGTAGAGTGGGTATCACGGTTGTTAGATGTAGAGTGGGTATCATGGTTGTTAGATGTAGAGTGGGTATCACGGTTGTTAGATGTAGAGTGGGTATCATGGTTGTTAGATGTAGAGTGGGTATCGTGGTTGTTAGATGTAGAGTGGGTATCATGGTTGTTAGATGTAGAGTGGGTATCATGGTTGTTAGATGTAGAGTGGGTATCATGGTTGTTAGATGTAGAGTGGGTATCATGGTTGTTAGATGTAGAGTGGGTATCACGGTTGTTAGATGTAGAGTTGGTATCATGGTTGTTAGATGTAGAGTGGGTATCATGGTTGTTAGATGTAGAGTGGGTATCACGGTTGTTAGATGTAGAGGGGTATCAAGGTTGTTAGATGTAGAGTGGGTATCATGGTTGTTAGATGTAGAGTGGGTATCATGGTTGTTAGATGTAGAGTGGGTATCACGGTTGTTAGATGTAGAGTGGGTATCGTGGTTGTTAGATGTAGAGTGGGTATCACGGTTGTTAGATGTAGAGTGGGTATCGTGGTTGTTAGATGTAGAGTGGGTATCGTGGTTGTTAGATGTAGAGTGGGTATCACGGTTGTTAGATGTAGAGTGGGTATCATGGTTGTTAGATGTAGAGTGGGTATCGTGGTTGTTAGATGTAGAGTGGGTATCACGGTTGTTAGATGTAGAGTGGGTATCATGGTTGTTAGATGTAGAGTGGGTATCGTGGTTGTTAGATGTAGAGTGGGTATCACGGTTGTTAGATGTAGAGTGGGTATCACGGTTGTTAGATGTAGAGTGGGTATCACGGTTGTTAGATGTAGAGTGGGTATCGTGGTTGTTAGATGTAGAGTGGGTATCGTGGTTGTTAGATGTAGAGTGGGTATCACGGTTGTTAGATGTAGAGTGGGTATCATGGTTGTTAGATGTAGAGTGGGTATCGTGGTTGTTAGATGTAGAGTGGGTATCACGGTTGTTAGATGTAGAGTGGGTATCATGGTTGTTAGATGTAGAGTGGGTATCGTGGTTGTTAGATGTAGAGTGGGTATCACGGTTGTTAGATGTAGAGTGGGTATCATGGTTGTTAGATGTAGAGTGGGTATCGTGGTTGTTAGATGTAGAGTGGGTATCACGGTTGTTAGATGTAGAGTGGGTATCACGGTTGTTAGATGTAGAGTGGGTATCATGGTTGTTAGATGTAGAGTGGGTATCGTGGTTATTAGATGTAGAGTGGGTATCATGGTTGTTAGATGTAGAGTGGGTATCACGGTTGTTAGATGTAGAGTGGGTATCGTGGTTGTTAGATGTAGAGTGGGTATCATGGTTGTTAGATGTAGAGTGGGTATCACGGTTGTTAGATGTAGAGTGGGTATCGTGGTTGTTAGATGTAGAGTGGGTATCGTGGTTGTTAGATGTAGAGTGGGTATCACGGTTGTTAGATGTAGAGTGGGTATCGTGGTTGTTAGATGTAGAGTGGGTATCACGGTTGTTAGATGTAGAGTGGGTATCGTGGTTGTTAGATGTAGAGTGGGTATCACGGTTGTTAGATGTAGAGTGGGTATCGTGGTTGTTAGATGTAGAGTGGGTATCACGGTTGTTAGATGTAGAGTGGGTATCATGGTTGTTAGATGTAGAGTGGGTATCGTGGTTGTTAGATGTAGAGTGGGTATCACGGTTGTTAGATGTAGAGTGGGTATCATGGTTGTTAGATGTAGAGTGGGTATCGTGGTTATTAGATGTAGAGTGGGTATCGTGGTTGTTAGATGTAGAGTGGGTATCGTGGTTGTTAGATGTAGAGTGGGTATCGTGGTTGTTAGATGTAGAGTGGGTATCGTGGTTGTTAGATGTAGAGTGGGTATCGTGGTTGTTAGATGTAGAGTGGGTATCACGGTTGTTAGATGTAGAGTGGGTATCATGGTTGTTAGATGTAGAGTGGGTAGCATGGTTGTTAGATGTAGAGTGGGTATCGTGGTTATTAGATGTAGAGTGGGTATCGTGGTTGTTAGATGTAGAGTGGGTATCACGGTTGTTAGATGTAGAGTGGGTATCATGGTTGTTAGATGTAGAGTGGGTATCACGGTTGTTAGATGTAGAGTGGGTATCATGGTTGTTAGATGTAGAGTGGGTATCACGGTTGATAGATGTAGAGTGGGTATCACGGTTGTTAGATGTAGAGTGGGTATCATGGTTGTTAGATGTAGAGTGGGTATCTTTTTTGTAACGACGTAGAGTGGGTATCTTTTTTGTAACCATGTAGAGTGGGTATCTTTTTTGTAACGATGTAAAATGAGTATCATGCTTGTTACGATGTAGAGTGGGTATCATATTTGTTATGATGAAGAGTGGGTATTATTTTTGTTATGATGAAGAGTGGGTATCATGCTTGTTACGATGTAGATTGGGTATCATATTTGTTACGATGTAGATTGGGTATCATATTTGTTATGATGAAGAGTGGGTATCATATTTGTTATGATGAAGAGTGGGTATCATGCTTGTTACGATGTAGATTGGGTATCGTGCTTGTTAGATGTAGAGTGGTATCCTTTTTTTGTAACGATGTAGAATGGGTATCATGCCTGTTATGGTGAAGAGTGGGTATCATATTTGTTATGATGAAGAGTGTTTATCATGCTTGTTACGATGTAGATTGGGTACCGTGGTTATTACGAAAGAAACAGATCCAGACGTTCTAGAAGTCAGTTATTTGCTGTTATGGGGAATCCAAGTTTTTAAAGAAGCAAGAATTGTGTGTACAAAAATCTAAACGAAACTTCACAAGTATTTTGTTTAACATTATATACAAATAAATATATAGTACAAATATAACAATCTGTAATCTATACTCTATAGAAGAAATTAGGTGTATATGTAGAAGACGTCATTAAAGTATCAGTTCCTAGGTAAAGATCATATTTTACACATGCGTCTAACACATTTTTAAAATTGTAATCTATATATCAATTTAGGGGTTGGCGTGGTCGAGTCGGTAAAGCTCATGGTTGCTAAACCGAAATGTTTAGAGTTCGAACCCACAGGCAGATGAGGCTCGTTAGCTGGGGACAGCCACTCTTCTAGGAGAGACAACTCCATAATCAAACAACTGCTTCCTTGTAGTTTGTTTTTGGTTGGACAAAGGCTCTGGAAGCAAATCCAAAAAGAAAAGCAGGCTGAAATCGGAGTCATTAGCCTCAATGCGAATAACCAGTTGACACGTATCTTTAATTGTGTTGGAGGGGATCCCTTACAATACTAAAATTACGAACGAAGAAGAAGAAGATATCAATTTAAAGAAAATGACGTATGAGTTAATTTTCTATTGCCTAGAATCTAAATAACGTAGTTGTGAAACTTGTGAGTCAAAATCTTTATTAAATGTAAAAATGTACTTTCCAATTTCTAACCATGTATGTCACTTTTAAACAGCTAGAAGTCCTAAATAGATTGAATATAATTTTAGTATTCTTTCAATTATAAGAATCGTGTACAATCGGCTGCTTTAAGTGCCTAGAAAAAACATGTTTTAGGAACGAACACAAATGTAATGGAATCGATGACTGTAAAGACAGATCGGATGAAGTAAACTGTGGTAAGTAGATCAATTGATGTTTTCCTTAAATAGGTATTCAATTTGTTTGTAGAGAAGGAAAGAATCATTCTGTTGACATTGACTTAAAATTATTTTTATAACGTCTCAGAATCTGGAAAAAATTTCTATAAAAACTATTTTTGATATAAGCAATTGCATTTCAATGTAAATCTGAAAATATAGGTATAAATGGTAATGGAACAAGAAAACTTCTTTTAAAATCAGCTTTGTTTTTAAATTTGTGACAGTGAAGTATTTATTTTCTATAAAATTTCCTGTTTAAAAAAGAAATATAAAAAATTAATCGACTTAAAATTTCAGATCTAAATAGCACTGTTTATCTATAGGGTACTAAAGTTAATTTAAATAAATTATTTAAAAAAAATATTATTATTATTAACTTTTATTATTAGACGTTTGTCACAAGGACAGTTTCAAATGTGAAAACAAGAGATGCATCGTCAATGATAAAAGATGTAATGGAATACCTGATTGTGAGGACGGTTCGGATGAAAGGAACTGTCGTAAGCATAACTAAGTGAAACATATATTGTAAGCATTACTATATATATATATATATATATATATATATATATATATATATATATATATATATATATATATATATATGGCTTAATGCTGGACAGGCTATTTTCTCACTTTCTGGTATACAGAGTATAAAGAGAGTAATGTAATCGTGCACACAAAAGTAATAACATTTTGACAGCTTTCGGCGTTTTACACTTTCCTATTTTATCGTATAAGGAATATTAAGGATGTAGTTTAATCGTGAAAAATATAAATCGAAATTTTGACAAATTCTGATGTTTTACAACCTCCCGCTGTCGGAAAAATCTTTGTCAGACATGGATAAATAAACTTATTCGTACGTTTCTATTAAATTATTAGTTGTTTACACAGTCCGGAAGTTGTGATCTATTTCCGATTTCTCAAAAAAGGTAGTCAATGTTTCCTTTAGAAAGTACTATTTTTTTCTTCTGTTTTGTACTCACACTGTTTGCGTTCATTAGGTGTAACAATGTTTACATTTGTTTTTGTTACCAGCCTCTTGCAAGGGTACCAGTTTCCATTGTCAAAACAAAAACTGTACCCAAGTTAAACTAAGATGTGACGGTAACAATGACTGTGGAGACAAATCGGATGAAAATGATTGCAGTAAGTGATCCAAGTTCGGTTTCTGTAGCTATATTTTGTTTTATGTGGACGAGTAGTTAGCCCATCGCACAACCCCCAACCTGGAGGACCAGGGCACATCGTTTGGTCTGGCCCCTACCCACGCAGATCTGTCCGACTTGGTTAGACCTGCCAGGAGCACTAGGCTCCCGCCGGCATAGCTCTGAGGGTCGCTGGGGCACATAAGCCATCCCACCACTTCAAGGCGGTGTGCCATCAGGATGGCGAAAGGCTCACACAAATGTTACACGCCAAGCGCTTGAGTGGAACCCCCAGGAAAAGCGGAAGAGAGGGTGCCCAAGACAGACCTGGAGGCGGGGTCTTCTTGAAGAACTGAAGCCAACAGGGATGTCTTGGGAGATGGCAAAATTAATAGCCGGGGATCGGAAGAAATGGAAGGAAATGGTGGAGGCCCTATGTTCCATAAGGAGTAAAGACGACTAAGTCAAGTGAAGTGATCCAAATGGCAGTGTTTATTTACATAAAAAGAATTGTTATGGCTATTAAAATTAGAATGGTTTTTAAAAAATCGGTAATTTCTGAGATGGGGTCAATTAATAAGTGGTTATAAATAACTGTTAGAAATTAATAAAGAAAATATAAAGGCCCAATATATATATATATATAAATACATACATACATACATATATATATATATATATATATATATATATATATATATATATATATATATATATATATATATATATATATATATATATATATATATACACACATATATATATATATACATATATATATAGAATATATACATATGTATATATATATATACTTGTTATATAGTGGGCACTAGAATAAATCTATTAGGCAATACTTTTGTTAAAAACAGCACGTTTGTTTAATTTTATTATTTTCAGTGCATTTAAAATTTGATTATATAGGTTTTAATATGTTCTTATCACATGTATTATCGCATAAGCCGTGTGTAGTGATTACGGTGTAAGATGCACTGAAGTTGGTTGTATCAACGTCTTTGATAGATGCGACAACAAATACGACTGTAAGGACAAATCTGATGAAGAAGGATGCCGTAAGTATGACACAATTTTTTTAACGAGCCCCAAATGTAACACTATGGCTACTTACTTATCTTTATATATATATATATATATATATATATATATATATATACATATATATATATATATATATATATATATATATATATATATATATATATATATATATAACATATATTTATAACAAATGATGTATATCTTTGGTTTCATTAAATACACCACGAAATTTTAAATTTCAATGGTAATTTCAATAAAATGTTTAACTCTGCAATGTGAAAATAAAAGAGGGTATTCCACATTCATATTTGCCATGACAATTTAGTTTTTAAATATAATATCGAAGTTGTTGGTTTAGTATTATAAAATGAAAATAAAACTGAAATGCATTCAATAAAGCATAGTTGTATTTTTATAAATGAGTCTATCGTAACAGTCTACATTATAGTATGTCGATCAGTTTTAAAATCTACGCCAGGAGATTCATGCCGATTTATTTCAGACACAGGTTCAAACTTTGTTTTTGTTTGTTTTACTCGTTGACCGTGTTTAATTACACATAACTTTATTTCAAAACTATGTAAGAAAGAACTAAAGGAGATAAAAAAAACACAAACAATTTATTTCCGAAGAAAGAATTTTAAATTAGTAAAATTAATTGCATGTTCACTCCGTCGACAAAAAAAAAAAAAAAAAAAAAAAAAAAAAAAAAAAAAAAAAACAAACAAACAAAACAAGTGTTTGTTCATATTTACAATTAGCATACTATAAATAGTTTTAGAAATTAACCCATGTAGTACAATCAGGGGTGTATCCGAGGTGGGCGGGGGAGGAGGGGGCAGTGGAGTGTACACGAAACGCCTGCATCTTTTAGACATTGACCCATTATCGTTAAAAATAAATTAAAATAAATTAAATTAAGCGCCTGTACCTTATGTTGAATAAATAAGGCGCCTACCTTGAGTTCGGCGTTCGTACTAAACTAACTAAACTAATCAAATTGTGGATTATTTGCTCAACAACGCTTTAAAATGTCCACGCTAAGACAAATTAACTTAACTCCTTACATACTAACATGTAAAATAAATCTGATTCTTCTTCGTTCTTAATTTTTAATGTTGGAAGGGATCGAGCCTTATCTGCCAGAGGGTTTGAACTCAAGACTTTTTCGAATTTATCAACCATGAACTTTTGCCGACTCGACCCTTTATCCAAATTAAGGATACGTGTCAACTGGTTATGCGCCATTGAGGCCATTGACTCCATTTCAGCCTGCTTTTCTTTTTGGATTTGCTTCCATAACCTTTGTCTAACCAAGAACAAATTACAAAGGCAGCAGTTGTTTGATTTTGGGGTTGTCTCTCCTTGAAGAGTGGCTGTCCCCAGCTAAAGAGCCTCATCTGCCCAAGGGTTCGAACTCGAGACTTTTCGCATTAGCAACAAGAGCTTTACCGACTCGACCACGCCGACCCCTGATTAAAAATTCATATATGTTTGAAAATTCTGAGGTAAAATTACCACCCGATTTTAATTAACTTTATTTCCTACCCAGAGGAATGTCCTCGTATGAACTTCAGATGTAGAGACAACGCTTGCGTTGTCGTCTTCAACAGGTGTAATGGCAGGTGGGACTGTATGGACGGTTCAGATGAAGAAAATTGTAGTAAGTATTATATGGGCTCCATCTAGTAACAAAATAGCGACAGATGAAGAAAATTGTAGTAAGTATCACAAGGACTCGATTTGGTGACAATAGAGACAGATGAAGAAAATTGTAGTAAGTATTATATAGGCTCAATCTAGTGACAAAACAGGGACTGTATGGACGGTTCAGGCGAAGAAAATTGTAGTAAGTATTATATAGGCTCAATCTAGTGACAAAACAGGGACTGTATGGACGGTTCAGGCGAAGAAAATTGTAGTAAGTATTATATAGGCTCAATCTAGTGACAAAACAGGGACTGTATGGACGGTTCAGGCGAAGAAAATTGTAGTAAGTATTATATAGGCTCAATCTAGTGACAAAACAGGGACTGTATGGACGGTTCAGGCGAAGAAAATTGTAGTAAGTATCACATGGGCTCAATCTAGTGACAAAATAGGGACAGATGAAGAAAATTGTAGTAAGTATCACATAGGCTCAATATGGTGACTCGATTTGGTGACAATAGGGCTTGTAAGTAGGTCAAAAACTTCTCGTTCTCAGACTTGCCAGCTAGCATTTTTCAAACCAAATAAGATTTTGTTTTAGTAAATCAGCTAAAAAAAAGAAAAAAAAATAGAAAATGTACTTCTGCTATTAAGTTATTTTAAATCGGAAACATTGGTAATGATAGACTACATGATGCAAACTACCTTAAGGAAAAATATATCCTACGTTAAATTGTGAATGCTTTTTTTTAAAGAAACGCAGTTGGTTATTCTTTATTTCAATCCGTAATAATATCACTATAATATTTAAATACTATTACTAGACTAGATCTAACGGTTCTTAATTTGATAATTTTATTAAAAAATTGTTTATAATTGTTGCACTTGGTCTACTCGTGGTATTTTAAAATCTTAAAGCAAGACAGAAAAACAAATATACGAAATCATATTCACATCAATTAATTCAGTACGAAAATATACACCTCTCCCTGATTTATATCTCCGTGATTTAAAATTATAAATTAGGGACAGCGCGACTTATAAGCCCTATAGGGACAGTAAGGACAGGAGACTGTAATATGACAATATATTTATTTTAATATAAATTTTACCGTATGGAAGTCGTACTAAAGAAGGCTGTAGTAACAAGGGTGACACAGAACAATGTAGGTAAATCAAACTCGTCTGTACATGGTAGGTTCGAATCCCGTTGGGTTCTGACTGTTCTGTCTTTACTTGGACTATATTCTGTAACTTTGTCTACCCTTATCGTTAAAATATCACTTTCTGTGATCGAACGTTTTTTTTTAAACCGCTTCTCTAAGTACAGGCTAAATTATTTTAGTTATAACATGAAGTTTGGTTCTGACTATTCTGTCTTTACTTGGACTATATTCTGTAACTTTGTCTACCCTTGGCGTTGAAATATCACTTTCTGTGATGAAACGTTTTTTTATTTTTTAAACTGCTCCTCTAAGTACAGGCTAAATTATTTTAGTTATAAAATGAAGTTTGGTTCTGACTATTCTGTCTTTACTTGGACTATATTCTGTAACTTTGTCTACCCTTAGCTCTGAAACACCACTATCAGTTTATACTGCTAATTTTGGTAATTGAACTTTTTTTTTTAAAAACCGCTACTCTAAGTATAGGCTATATTATTTTAGTTATCACATGAAGTTCACCTAAAGATGAAGTGAATAATTTCGATTAATATATTTTTTTTAAACAAGATTTCTGTGTGGATGGTAGTTTCAAATGCAGAAATGGTGGATGCATTCAGGCTTCTGACAGATGTAACGGCGTGGAAAACTGTGACCATGGAGAAGATGAATTTCCTTGTGGTAAGTTGAGATCAACACACCTGCTTGAGGTATAATGATGTCATTTACTGATTGTCATCATGTAGATAATCTGATAATGCCATTTACTGATTGTCATCATGTAGATAATCTGATAATGCCATTTACTGATTGTCATCATGTAGATAATCTAATAATGTCATTTACTGATTGTCATCATGTAGATAACCTGATAATGTCATTTACTGATTGTCATCATGTAGATAATCTAATAATGTCATTTACTGATTGTCATCATGTAAGTAAGAAAGTTTTCCTTTCAACCTGACGGCCTATGGGGCAAGTGAAGTTGAGTTCACTTGTTTCTGTGACATCGGCATATGAAGAGATATTGTGTTCAGCACTATGCCCAGCCTCCTTTACTTTCTCTAACGTGAGTTAGGTACCCATCAGAGTTGGGTGGACTCAGGGACGGTCTACTGACTTGAACCCAGATTCGAACTCGAGACTTACGGGTTAGCATTCCAGCTCTCCAGCTCTCTATCGCTAGACCACTCCGTCTGTCATCATGTAGATAATGTGATAATGTCATTTACCGATTGTCATCATGTAGATAATCTATGCAGTTTTCTTTTGAATAAGTGTGTGATGTGTGTAGGTCTGGGTGTTGTGCGTGTGAAAAATAGCCCCGTGGTTAAACCTTACCCCCCAACCCATTATAAACATCAGCCTGCTGTGTTTAACAAATATTTTACACAATGAGTTAGCTATGAAGTTTTAAGCATTTTGTAAATTATATTGTCGAGATCTATTTCTATAATCAGAACGTTGTCAAGGTAACAGTTTCCGGTGCCAAAATGGAAGATGTATCCACATATCTCTTCGGTGTAACGGCGAGTTGGATTGTGCAGACGACTCAGATGAGCACTACTGTGGTGAGTAGACAATGGTATTCGGGGTATGTGCATTTAACTCGCTAGTTATTGGGTACGTAGTTTTTTTGGGTCTACGACAAGTTCCCGAAAGACACTTGCCCGAATGCCGTTTGCCCGAAGGCCGATTTCCCGAATGGACACTTGCCCGAATAAGACAAATTCCCGAATGGACACTTGCCCGAATGCGACAAACGCCCGAATGGACACTTGCCCGAATGCGACAAATGCCCGAATGGACACTTGCCCGAATGCGACAAATGCCCGAATGGACACTTGCCCAAAAGCCGTTTGCCCGAAAAATGTTAACATTATATATTACCAAATAATTATTCGTAATCAATTTAAATTTGAAACGTTGATACACAAAACGTATATATGCAAAAAAAAAAAGGAAAAAAATAATATCATATATTACCACGCATACATTTTAAATTTATTTGTATTTGCTCTATAAAAAGTGTAGAAACATACTTTGTTTTTCGTCTACAAAACACTAAGAAAAATACCATTTTCGCTTTCACATGTTTTTAAAATGAATTTTTCTTTCTTTATTAAGTAATCGCCTCAAAACATGGTTTAAACAAAGTGCATTAAATGGAGATCAAACGTATTTGACTACCTTTTATTTTTTAATTCAACGCCTAGATCACGCCTCGTTTTGTTGTGAAATAATCACCCCACAAGTTTAGCATAACAAGATAAATCCAACAAACGCGCCTCCATTCAATGGGCAAGTGGCATTCGGGTATTTGTCGCATTCGGGCAAGTGTCCATTCGAGCATTTGTCGCATTCGGGCAAGTGTCCATTCTGGCATTTGTCGCATTCGGGCAAGTGTCCATTCGGGCGTTTGTCGCATTCGGTCAAGTGTCCATTCGGGCATTTGTCGCATTCGGGCAAGTGTCCATTCGGGAAATCGACCTTCGGGCAAACGGCATTCGGGCAAGTGTCTTTCGGGAAAACGTCCGGCTCCCGTTTCTTTAAATCTTAATTTAGTCTTCTTTATGTCTTAATAAAAGTAATATATAAAACACATATAAGAAGTTTTAAATGCACTAAAACATGAAAATACAAATAATTTGTTTTACTTAATAGAAGCATTGGTCAACAAAAATACTTAGGTGATTTTATAAGCGCTTTTCTTTATGTTAACATCTAATTTATTTGTAAATTTGAACAATAATTGAAATAAATAGCGTTTAAATTAAGTTATTGATGACTCATTTATATTTTAGCATCTGGAATCCCTTTGAAATCGCCTGTTCGATGGTGAGTAGGTGATCATTTAAAAAAAAAAATCACTTAAAATTGTATAATTTTTTCCCCACAAAAATCGATATTTGTGTGATTTTATTAATAAAAAAACACCCATACAAGGCTGTTCTGAAACTCAGTGAAATTGGAAAGTTTAAAACAGAAGGGCGACAGTGATCAAAACACTAGATATTTTCTAATTATGAGATAGTGACTTCACTTTTAAAACTTTACATAAAGAACGAATCTACACTATAAACTAAAATTGACGCAATAAACCTTCCACCCAATTCTGATGGGTACCTGTCCCACTTAAAGGATAAATAATGGCGGCTGGAATAGTGCTGACCACACTACGCTATCCCTTTTTATGCCTAGGTTAATTCTACTATACTTGCCCCATGAACCGCCAGATTTGAAAGTGTACTTTTACCTTACTTTTACAATAAATACACAAAAAGATAAAATTCCAGGAGTGACAGTAACAAAACTAGACGCTAAAAACATGGGCCACTAAACTCTTCGAGTACAATTCCAAATGTGTACGTATTTAAAGAAATTTTACATTTCAGGAATTACTACGAGTACAATCCTAAATGTGTACGTATTTAAAGAAATTTTACATTTCAGGAATTACTACGAGTACAATTCTAAATGTGTACGTATTTAAAGAAATTTCACATTTCAGGAATTACTTCGAGTACAATTCTAAATGTGTATATCACATTTCAGGAATTACTACGAGTACAATTCTAAATGTGTACGTATGAAAAAAATTTGCGGAGCACACTATCGATTACCCTGCTGCCCAGGTTATTATTGCTAGTAAGTTAAAGTGTTGTTTTATATTCCTATTTTAGAACTATCCATGTTATTGTTATTGTTATGTAGATGTCAACTTGTGGGTCCGTAGTGTGGTGCACTCATTTAATGGTTACAGCAAAGTTACATCGTTAATATTAAATGTCACATGGGTGTTTGGTTGAGATTGTCTTAAGTTTAAAGTTAGTTAAATATAGAAGTTTGACTGTTTCTCACCCTTCCCCCTTATAAAATGTAAGGCTACAACAGTACCACCTACCCCCCTCCCCCACCCATAAAATGTACGGCTACAACTGTACCACCACCTTACCCCACCCTTAAAATGTACGGCTACAACAGGACCCCCTCCCCCCATAAAATGTAAGGATACACCAGGACCACCTGCCACCCCACCTGATAAAATGTACACAGCTTACCAACCCCCCTACACTCCATAAAATGTACGGCTCCAGCACACCCCCCCCCCCCTTGCACAATCTCGCTAGTGCTGCCAAAGCGTCTGAAGGCCTCCACGTGAGATAGATCTGTAACATATTAGGATATTGATCCGATTAGTAATAGATATTCATTATTAGAAGTACTTGAAGTACTGTGAGACTTACAATATAGAGACAGAACCATAGTTGATTATAAGTGGACAAAAGCGCTATATGTTAATTCAATTTACACACAGGTAAAAAAGTAATTTTTTGAGTTTCTTAATCCGTAGCATATCCAGAGCCACTAAAACAGTAAGTAAAATCTTTTGTTTTTATTTCCTTAACTAACTGACTTGACTCAAGTTACATGACAGTCATTCAGTCGGGCATGTCTAGTTTAAAAGCTGAAAGATACTTAAAATGTCTTTTAATAAATATTTAAATTAGGTAGAAAAAGAAGAGCTAGAGGTATCAATTACAAAATGGTTTCATACGCATGAATCAAAGCTACCAACATGTTACATTTAATTAAACTCATGGGCTAAGAGATATAAAGGAACACCAGTTCTATATCATATACTCATAACAGATGAAGCTGTACAGTGTCTCTTCCGAAATTTTTTTTCTCCAGAAGAGGGGGAGGGGTAGTAGCGTAGCGAGGGGGGGGCGGGGGGGGGGGTGCAAATTGAAAGTTTAAGGGGGGGGGGGCAAATCAAAATCTTGAGGTGGGGGGTGCAAATCGAAAAGTTTGTCCCCGGGCGCCGGGAAGAGTTGCTACGCCTCTGGGGAGGGGGCACTTAATACTTTAGAGAGGGCGAACTAAATTTTCTGTGGGGTTGGGGGGGGGGGGTGGTGAACTGACCGACACTGGTAAAAAGATGCTCTAAAATGAAATGTAGGAAACCAGGTTAAGGGAGCACTTTAGGGCATTAAATGAAATCATCAGCATATGAAGCGTGGTACGCCAAGAAGGGGGCATGAAATGACACGTCAGCATATGAAGTGTAATATACCAGGTTGAAAGAGTACTTTAGGACATCAAATCATTAATATGAAACATGCGTTCAGCACTCTCGACACAACATGGAATTCAAGAGCTTTATCCACACCCGTGGTTCTTCAGGGTTCATTCAACCCCCGGGGTTCGGCGCGTCAGTCTCAGGGGTCCGGCGAAGTTCAAGACACACACCCGACCTACATAATTCCATACCGGATTTAGTCAAGGCGGACGAAACAACTATTGATAATGGTTCGGCGAATGTGTATATGTAATACTAGGGTTCGGTACCTCCACTAAGGTTAAGAGCCACTATTCTAAGCTTTCTAGAACACTTCCCCTCTAAGGAGAACAACACAAACCAAAAACAACCAACGTATGACGTTCGTAAACAGATGGTCGCAACATATATTTTTCGTCATGTGGTCTGAAAAAAATTAGGACTTAATATTTTCCATTTACAAAAGTGACCAGCTTAACTATTGTTATATTGTTTAAGTAATGTTTTTGTTTATGTTTAATATAAATTTGTATAAATACGATACTTGATTATATTTGTATCTATATTTTTGTTAGGACGGTAAATGTAAGATTCTAAGGAAACATTGGAACTGAGGTGAGATACTGGAGTTGGACAATTAAAAAATTGTAAAGATCATTTTTGTTTCTGTCGATTTTTTGTGTGAACTGTGGTGTCAACTCTCACTCTAACACCATCAATACACCACATTCACACCACCCTCACAGCACCCACACTACCCTCACACCACCCTCACACCACCCTCACACCGCTCACATCACCCTCACACCATCCTCACACAAGTCTCACACCATCCACACACCACTCTCACACCACTCTCACACCACTCTCACACAACTCTCAGACAACCCTCACACTACCCTCACACCACTCTTACACTACTCTCGAACCACTACCCCCAACACCACCCTCACATCACTGTCACTCAACCCTCACACTAATGAATTTAAAAATAAAACCTAATATGTTAATCATTGAAACGATCCTACTTGCTATTTTCACACAAAAGTATATAGCTTTTGTTGTAGTCGAAACTGAAAAACTCAAGACTCAGCTTCTCTATCATAGATGTAATTTAAAAACAAATGTTATCTTTTTCGAACCTGATGGTCCAAAGGGCAGATGAAGTAGAGTTGACCTGTTTCTAAGACCTCGGCGTACGATAATATATTGTTTTCAACACTATGCTCAGCCGAGTTGTCTTTCCCTAATGTGAATAAGGTACCGATCACAGCTGGGTGGACTCAGGGACGTTATACTGACTTGAGCCCGGATTCGGATTCGAACTCGAGACTCTCGGGATAGCAGTCTAGCGCTCTACAGCTAGGTCCAGTGTTTCTTCCAGACTTTTTTCTCCGGGGGGCACTTGAAATCTTCGGGGGGGGGGGGGGGGCGGTAAACTTTCTTCGGGGGGGGGGGGGGGGCGGACACTGTTAAAAGTATATATTTTCTATATAAATTATATAAATTTCATTTCGTTCGGGGGGCGGTAAAAATTTTTCGGGGGGGGGGGGGTCCAAGCCCCCCCGAAGAGATGCCTGAAAGAAACTCTGGCTAGGTCACGCCGTTCAATCGGATTCCTTTTCAAACTTATTCGCAAGACATCTGCAGATTTTTGAGAATGAAACTTGTGATGGGATACCATGTACTTCTAACCTTGAAGACTACTAGTTCACTAAACCTGATCTCCTTGTTTCATATGTTGATAATGTGATGCCGAGATTTAGATTTGAAGTAAAAAAAGTATTTATACGCACACTTAACAAGAATTCAAGCCTGGCTACAATGCAAAACCAAGCTTGAAAATATGCAAATGATAGCGAGAGCTCGCATTTAGGGATTAGATGAAAGAAATATCACTTCAAGATCAGGTCGTAAAGGCAAGAAGTCCACTTCAACCTCACAACCTCACAACCTGTACACGGGTTGATGAATCAAATAAAAAAATAACGCAAGAGTTATGCACACTGTGAAAGAGAAATGATTAAGAACAGAACCGACACTAAGTGTGATGTCTGCCATATTCGCGTATATTACAAACAGGGGCGTAGCGAGGGGGGGGGGGGGCGGGGGGTGCGGACCGCACAGGGTGACACCATTTAGGGGGGTGACACCAAGGCAAAAAATAGCAAAATATATAGAGAAAAACTTGAGGGGGGGGGTGCAAATCGAAAGTTTGAGGGGGGGGGGGTGCAAATCAAAATCTTGAGGGGGGGGGGTTGCAAATCGAAAGTTTGAGGGGCGGGGGTGCAAATCGAAAACTTGAAAGTTTGTCCCCGGGAAGGGTCGCAGCGCCTCTGGGGGGGGGGGGGGGGGGTGACACCATTAAGTGCCGCACCGGGTGACACCCGACCTCGCTACGCCACTGATTACAAAACATTACATAACTGCTTCCAGAGGCTTCATTCTTAGATGACTATAAACTCATAAAGAACATAAATGTGTTCTCATTACTGATATTCTTAATTTCCAATGTACCAGAACAACAAACGCACGTTTGATCACTTTTGGAATTAACATTTCGATATAACACAAAACGCAACCTGTTTTCGATACCTTTCCCTTGAGACCCATAGGGACATATATGTCCCATGCTGTATCACACAAACTATTTAGGATATCAGAAGGCGGTTTACATTATTGAAATCTTCGTGTCATTTCGCCACTAACTATGTGCACAGATATTTGAAATTGTTCGTGCATTCCTTGTGTCCTGAAACGGTTAAATATGTGTTGTCCCTTGTTACAAGGGAGCCAAAATTTTGTTTCAAATATGTCAAACTCTGTAATTATATTTATGTAAATTTTATTTATAATTTTACATTTTACAAAAACTAGTAGGCTTTATTAAAAATTAATATTTCAAATAGATTTTACATTTTACATAAATCAAAATTTAAATAGCAAATTCATTTTAAAAATAATTATTTTAAAATTTGTTTATCTTTATGATGTGTAATTTTTAACAAATAGCCTTTCTAAATTTTTGGGTTAATTTTTATACCCTTTTTTGTGATTATTGCCCTTGAAAAATATTTTAATCCCAAATATTCTAATGGGAGATCATTCGTGGCCAACGATCTCAGTTGTCGAGATCACATCCCAAATGTTTTCAAATCTTAATAAAAATTATAATATATAGAGGCGTCAGATTTACACTGGGAATAGTACAGTATATGCTTCAACGTTTCGTTATTAATTTTTATTGTCTCGGTGTAGGTTAGATCAGTAAATTATCACTAAACTACACACTGATATATGCATGGTTTATAATTGAGTCTTCTTTTTCTACTCTATTAAAGTGTATCTTAGTTCATCAAAAAAAAAAAAAAAATAGAAAAAATTCAACTGCAATTTTGAGGGGGGGGGGGGGGGGGGTTGTAGGCTGAGGTGGGACGTCATTTTAGGGGGGGGGGGGGTCTGGCTTTTTGTGACGACGTGTGACGGAGGGGAGGGGGGAGGTAAAAATCGTCAAAAAAAGCGTGACGTCATTTATGGATGATCCCTAATTTAAGAATGTGTGTCTTATTGTAAGTCTTGTTTTGCCTTTAAGCATTCATATTTTCGTGGTTTCCAAACGTTTTATGTCTAACTTAGTGGAGCAATGGGAACATTGGTAACAACTGATAATAACTGCTGCAATTTTTAAATTATTATTATAGTTTAAAAGTCTACACAAAATTTAGGAAGAAGTAACTGAAACGAAAGAATAGAAGGCAGAAAGATTTAGTCAGTAAAAAAAAATGTATATTAAAACAATGTATACAAATCAAGGTACCACGCTGGTCACATAAAGAAGAACACATTGATTACAATTTTATCTTTTTTACCTGAAATGAAATAACTATTAATGGAGTGTATAGTTATCGCCTGAATTTGATAGAATTTTCAAATGTTTATCTGCAACCCAACACGTATTTTACACCAGTGGCCATTAACCCTACGTTTAATTGCTACCATCAACACGTATTTGCATCGTTGACATTTGTCTAAGGTACAGGGGTCTGATTTTTATCATAAGCATAGGCGTCAACCGTTACCAAGGCCCTGGATGGCCCATAATGAAGTCATTCACAGTAAACACATGAGCGCACCTAGACCTCTGACATTATGGTTGGGGGGGGGGGGGCGGTACTGCTAGGTAGGCAAGAGTCTTCCATCATCGTTTGATATGGGGCGGGTTAGTTGTATGAAATGAGAGTGCTTGTTGTTGAATGGGTATTTAAGGATAAGTGATTAATAAGGGGTGTTTGTAGTACATATTTCAATCAGTAACATATCTTTATTTATTTTCGTAATACATCATCAGTATAGTAAAGTATAGTATTTCAACACAGGGGTAGGATCATGGGGACGAAGGAGATGCAGTCCTGGGTTTGGGGGCGGGGAAGGTGTGATGAAAAGGGATGGGGCGGTTAGGATGGGGCGGTTTGGATGGGGCGGTTTGGATGGGGCGGTTAGGATGGGGCGGTTAGGATGGGGCGGGCCAGGCGACCAAATTAATGTCACATGTTCTTTCCGTTGTGGTGTTGCTAATTATGGTGTATGTGTTTGAGTGCTGTCGTTGTCAAGTCGTCTACAATAAATCAAGTCTAGTATCTGTCCAGTGAACTGTACCTTGTTTATTTAGCTCTTATTCTACTGTTCCAAATAGTCTGTCTATAGATAGCTACCGTCTTTGTTTTTTGCTCTAGGTTCGTCTTGTCTCTTTGCTTAGGGACTTTGCTTAGAGTTATAACTATTTCTATATTGAAGGTCCCGTTTCTTGTCGTTTTTTTCGTTTTTAGAATGTTTTTTCATATTTGTATGATGGGGCAGTGGCGTAGCGAGGTCGGAAGTCACCAGGTGCGGCACTTAATGGTGTCACCCCCCCCCCCCCCAAGAGGCGTTTGCGACCCTTCCCGGGGACAAACTTCCAAGTTTTCTATTTGCACCCCCCCCCCCCTCAAGTTTTCGATTTGCAACCCCGCCCCCCCCCTCAAACTTTCGATTTGCACCCCCCCCCCCCCTTCAAGTTTTTCTCTATATAATTTGCTATTTTTTGCCTTGGTGTCACCCCCCTTAATGGTATCACCCGGTGCGGTCCGCAGCCCCCCGCCCCCCCCCTCGCTACGCCCGTGTGATGGGGCATTCTAAATAGATGTGCGTTTCGGTTTCTGATGTGTTTTGTCTGCACAGTGGGCAATAGGGTTTTCTGTTGTTTTACTAGGGGTGTTGAATTGTAAATGAGTCTGTATGTTATTTCCCTAGCTTTGGATGCGAGGTTCCGTCCCTTGTTAATTTTTTTTTTCAATATTTAAAAACTACTTTTATTTTCAATTTAAAGCAAGTACACCAACATCAAAATCGATTACGTAATTTTAAACATCAAATTAATAAAGTCCTGTGTGTGTTTTTTTTCCCCGCCTTAGATATGTAATTTACAGCGTCAGTTAAGTGTTCGCTTTAGTATAACAGTTTTTATCACCGGCTTGTGAGGACTGATCCAGATTTACAATAGTAATATTTCTTTCTTACTTGCAGCCTACTTTCATTCATTTAAGATGGTTTACTTATACTTATCTAATATAAAACTTCTAATTAC